ACTTGAGTATAAGTTATAATTAAATCAAGCACTGCCAGAGTACCAGAGGACAAACAGTATTAGTGTGTTTCTGTGTGTGTGGTTTGGAACTGGGTTTGATTTCCATTCTCATAATCCGGATTTTCCAGCATTTTTCCTCTGTGGCCCTATTTCTTTATTTAGAGAAAGATTGGGTTGTCTGAGTCCTCATTCCTGTTCTAAAAGATGGAATCTTTAAGTGGCAGGATCCCTGTAACCAGGACCTGTTCCGAGTCTCAAAGATTAAAATAAAATGCTGATCAGGGGCAAAGAGAGTCCGTTCTAATGGACAAGAATCACCCCTTCTTCCCCCCAGTGTCTACTCAGAAGGATCCCTAAAGGACTGAGACCTAGAAAGCCCCCTGATCTCTTCACAGGATGTAATCTTTTCCTCCAGAAAAGAAGATTCTTTTTTTTTTTTTATTTCAGCATATTATAGGGGTACAGATGTTTAGGTTACGTATGTTGCCCTTGTCCCCCCACTCCAGAAAAGAAGATTCTTGAGTGGGCCAAAAGATTCCTAGGAGATTTGTACTTCCACCGAGAGTCAGAGCTCTTTAATGCTAAGAGGTTCAATTAAGAATCAATAGGATCGATTAAGGAGTGGGCTCACCTAGACAGAAGTCTTTGGACATTCAGGAACATTGTCAGACAATTGTCTTTGGAGTTCTTGATGTTTTAAGTGACCCAGTTTGAGTTTTTCCTAACTACCTGAAATTTTGAGTTGTATTACACCTCAAATCTCAGCCTTATATTCTGTTCTTATGGGACTATTTTAACCTGATTTTATCTAAACATGACAATTCTGTCAGCCATTGCTGTGTAAGAGGCCACCTCAAAACTTTAGAGGCTTGGTTAGGCCAGGTGGCTCATGTTTGTAATCTCAGCACTTTGGGAGGCCACGGCAGGAGGATCACTTGAGGCCAGGAGTTTGAGACCAGCCTGAGCAACATAGCGAGACTGGCTCTACAAAAATTTTTTTAAAAATTAGCCAGGCATGGTGACTCATGCCTATAGTCCCAGCTACTGGAAGACTGAAACAGGAGGATGGCTTGAGCCTAGGAGTTTGAGGCTACTGTCAGCTATGATGATGCTACTACACTCCAGCCTGGGCAACAGAGGAAAGACCTTGTCTCTCAAAAACAAAACAGAAAACCTTTGGTACCTTAAAACTCCATTCATTATTGTTACTTACAAGTCTACAGTTCAGCTGGGCAGTTCTTATCTCTGCTGAGCTCACTTATGCAAATGTGATCCGCAGCAGATTGGGTAGGCAGCTCTATTGACTTAGGCTGTGCTCTCACATGTTTGGGGTTCATCTGGCTAAAGGCCAAGGCACCTCAGCTCTTCTCTGTTTTCTCATTCTCCAAAAAGCTGGCTGGGGCTTGTTCCCTTGGTGGAAGGCAGGGTTCCAAGGCAGGGAGCAGAAGTATGCAAGGACCTTTGAGACCCAGGCTTGGAATTTGCACACTGTCACTTCCACCACATTCTTTTGGTCAAAACGAACCGCAAGGCCAGGCCAGATTCAAGAGATGAGGAAATAAACACAAGCCTCATAACGCATGGGACACAGGAAGAGGAATAATTGCAGCCATATTTTCAATCTACAATAATTTCTGTTGCCTAATTTTAATTTCCCTTAGTCCTATAAAATAGGACTTAATTCTAGAAAACATACCTTCTGTGATTGGCTCTGATCTTTAGTGAACTATATAATGTGCCTCAGTTTACTTATCTGTAAAAGAAAAGTGCTATTGGTTTAGCAACGCGGAAATTCTTAGATTGAACCTCTGTCATTTGTGCTGATAGGTTTCTAGCACTTGGTACCGATTCTGGGTTGAGTGTCTGCTTAATGTGTTTTTACCACCATGGCAAATACAGACTTGCTCCTCTCTGATTGGTCCACTTAGTTTTTCCATATTCTAGTCTTTTTATCAAAATTGCACATGTGCATTATTTCAACAGTCATTTGAGGAGTTGTTTGAAAAATCATTAGTCCCCCTGCTCTCACTCCCCAAAAGCAATTACTTGAACATTCTTTTAGTTGGTTATTGTGGTATTTATCTCCATATCTCTAAATAAAATGCTTATAATGCCACTTAGAGATTTTTGGTTTAGGTATCATCTATTGACTTCGATGGAAGATGAAAATAAAGTTTTATTTTCTTAACAAAATAGCGACATAAAATTCTACTTGATACCTCCATCTGTGCCCAGTACCCTCATT